ATTCAAACATATGTGTTTTGGGTTTAAAAAAGAGGTTATTGATGTTGTTGATAATATTTGGACCTTTGGGTCAATGTTGAGGAAAGGGGGAAAATGCCATGTTTGGGTATATTTCGGTCATTAGTGTAATTAATGACATTTATTATGAAAATAGGAAATTGAGTGGAAATAATGAAATTGGCTCATTATGAGGTAGAATGGTGGAGTTGGATTCATTAATCACTCACCTTTGTAATTGTTGATAAATTATCTGTTGATATAATTATTGTCTGTTTAGAAATAATTGCTTTGGACTATCGGTGGAGGATAGTCTTGATTGTTGTACACATTGCATGATGATTAGGCGAATTAAAACTAATCGATTGTATGTCATTGATTATGATGAATGGAATAATATATCAAATTTGTGTATTAATTGAACATGTATATGATAGATGCTTATATACATTGTGTTGTGTGGGAGGAGATAGGGGATGTACTCTACGGTTTAGGGAAAAAATGGACTCCTAAACCGGATATTATTTGGGAGGAGATAGGGGATGTACTCCATTGATACAGCAAATATGTGTATCTATTGAAGTATTGATATAGCGATATGTGTATCTATTGTGAAGTATGGAAGTGTTTTGTGTAATATTGATACAGCGAATATGTGTATCTATTGTGATGTATGGAAGTATTGTTGATATGAGATGTAATCTCACTTAAATAGTTTGGGCTAGGTTTTGAGCCACGGTTATGAATTGAGAATCGGTTAAGTAAAGGAAAGAGAAATAAAATATGGACATATTTGTCATGTAATTGAAACGAATTATGAATTGATATATGTGAGTTAAACATTTATCAAATGCTAATGTTTTAGTTTTTGCTCATATTATGTTTAGCATATCTCTACTGGGCGTTGGTTCACCCTATATGGGACATCATTTTCAGGTACATGTGTTATGCCACCTCTAAGGACGTAGCTTGGGAGGCTTGAGGCTGTTAGACTCTTTTGTTGTTTTTGTTGTATTACATGTATATCAAGCCAAGGGCTTATTTTGTGTAGAGTTAGTGCTCTCCTTCTTGTAACCAAGTGTTGACTTGGAAAGTTGTAAGCCCGTGGGGCATTTACTTTTGATGTCAACATGTAATACTTTTGTAATGAATACTCTGATGAATGAAATTATGCTTTACTCTCTTATGTTTAAGCATGTCAAGATTGTATGATTTATGGTTTTATTTTGAGGGCGTTACATGTTGTTCAAAAGGGAAGGTTAAGCTTCCTCTGCTTATTACACCCCCTTTCACTTCTTCAAGCATTATATGATGAGAATGATGATAAATCAAAATCGTTTCGACGTTATACTCAAGTGTACAATGCAACCAATGCTTTTATAAGTCTTGGTGCTACATTAGATCCAAGAGTACTTACTGGAAGAGGCCCTACATCATTCACTATCCATGGGGAATTGCGACATCGAACAGGATCACTACTACCATAATCAGGGCAAGATGCAGCTTATGCACAATTGTACATTTATGACCCTGATTCAACTTTAGAAGTTCGCAATTGTAGAAATCCTCAATTAAGAAGAAATGTTCTAAAAACTATTCAAGATTGTTTATTACAGGTTAATGAATTCGTTGCTAAATTTTGCCAGGCTTATGCAATTTTGAATCAATTAGCCTTGACAGGACGAAATTTGCCTGCTCATCTCCACTATAGTTCATTGACAGATCGACGACGGTATAACCTACCAACTATAGATGAGATTGCAGTTGTAATACCAGGTGATGGAACCAAGGTTAGTGGGATGAGAGATGTTATCTTACATCTACATGGAAGTAATGAGCTAATGCAAATCAATGAATGTCACCCAGCATATTTGCCATTACATTATGTTTTATTATTTCCACATGGTGAGCTTGGATGGGAACCTGAGCTGAAACTGTGGGATGTTCAACGTGATCAGCCTTCAACTGATCGGCTTACTCAAATGGATTTTTATAGTTATCGTTTGTTCGAACGACCCACAGAGTATTCAACAATTTTGAGAGCTGGAAAATTGTTCCAAGAGTTTTTGGTTGATGCTTGGGCCGCAACTGAACAAAATAGGTTGACTTACTACAAGCTTAATCAAGGGAAAATCCGTGCTGAACTTTACCAAGATCTAACAGATGTTGATCCAAATGACCTTCAACCCAATCAAATTGGTCAAAAGTTTGTTTTGCTATCTTCATTTCCTGGAGGTCCTAGACATATGTTTGAAATCTTTCAAGACTCAATGGCTATCACACGATACAACCAATATCCAGACATTTTTCTCACCATGACTACAAATCCTAATTGGCCAGAAATTACTTCGGCATTATTACCGCACCAAAAGCCTATTGATCGTCCTGATTTAATTGCCTCTGTTTTTGAGTTAAAGAGAAAGTGCTTGATGAAGGAGATAGAAACAAACCGAGTGTTTGGTAATAAAGTTGCGCATGTTTTTACAATTGAATTCCAAAAGTGTAACGCCCTCAAAATAATACATAAAACCCATCTCTTTAGACATGCATTGATCAAAGAAACCAACCATCTTTCCATTAATCAAAGTAGTTCTTACAAAAGTATTACATGTTAACAACAAAAGCAAATGCCCTATGGGCTTACAGCTTTCCAAGTTAACACTTGGTTACAAAAAAAAGAGTGCTAACTCAATACATATTAAGCCCTTGGCTTGAATTTACATGTAATACATCAAAAGAAAGCAAACAACAAAAGCAGTCTGTCTGCCTCTAGCCTCCCAAGCTATGTCCTTGGAGGTGGCATGCTATCTGTACCTAAAAATGATGTCCCATAAAGGGTGAACCACAGCCCAGCAGAAATACACTAAACCAACTATGAACAATGACTAAAATATTAGCAGTTGATAGATGGTCAACACCGATACACTCACTTATATCACATTCTGGTTTCATGACATTTAAGTCTATGTTACATTTCATTTCTCATTTCTTTTTCAACTTTGAGTTTGAAAACAAGGCTCAAAACTTAACCAAATAACTTGATGAGAATAAGACTCATCTTAAAAACACTTTCGAAATTCATGGTGGATACACATTTTGATGTTGTATCAATAACACATAAGCCACTCCCATACTATACGAACGATACACATTGTGGTGCTGTATCAACATGACATAGAAACACTTCTATACTTCACAATTGATAACGATATACATTTTAGTGCTATATCAAATCAATCTAAACACTTCCATAATCAACACTTGATACACATTGTAGTGTTGTATCAATGTCACACACAACCCGGCTTAGAGGTCCATCCCCTATCTTCCCCTAAACCGTGGAGTACATCCCCTATCTCCTCTCACACACACAATGTATATAAACATAGATCATATACATAAACAATCAATACATAAAGTCGATGTATTATTCCAACCACTATATTCGATAGCATACTCAATCGATTAATTTTAATTTGCCTAATCATCATGCATTGTCTACAACAATCAAGGCTATCCTCCACCAATAGCCCAAAACAGTTATTTCTAAACAGGAAATAAATGCACTAAATGGATATATTATCAACATTTAACCTGGGTGAGCGATTAAATGAATCCAACTACACCCGTTAATCCCATAATCTTTTCAATTTGAATACTCTCAATTCAATTCCTCATTTCTCAAAATTAATTATACAAATTAATTTATTTAACTAATTAGGGCATTTTCTCATAATTAACATAACAACCCCAAGGTTCCACTTTTATCCATAGTTCATCATCTATATCATTTCTCTATGCCAAACATGCATATAGGTTTAATTATAAATAAAACCCCATCTTTTGTAAAATTACACAAAGACCCAAACTTTCTCAAAATTACCCAACAACCCCAAACATATCAAAATGCTAAAATTCAAAGACAAAGCTCATAAAGAGGAGTAGGATATCCCTACCTCGAAGTTAGAGCTCAAACGGGGAAGTTGAAGAAAACCAAAATGCTCCAAACTCAAAGATCCACGGATCAAAATGGAGCCCTTGACGATCAACACACTTTTTACAAAGGCCGGAGGATAGGGAGACACTCTAACTAGATCAAACCCTAGAGAGAAGGGAGATTCTAGAAAGAGAAGCTCTCAAAAACATTTTTAGAAAGTAAGAGAGAGAGAGAGAGAAAGTAAGAAGTGATTTTAAAATGCCCAGCTGCTAACTGATATACGACATTCCCGCTCGAGCGGATAACAGGACGCTCGAGCGTCAATAACAGAAAACTGGGTACGCTCAAGCCCAAGAATGCCCAATCGAGCGTCAACACACAAAGACAAAGGAGACCCCCTCGAGCGCGAAAGACTAGTCTGCTCGAGTATAGATTTTCATCTCCCAGAACTTTCACCAACGGGGTACTAACTGCTCAAGCACCAACAAGCCCGCTCGAGCGCAATCTGCTCGAGCGCAATAAACCCGCTCGAGCGTAGAAAACACACCTGCAGAAGTTTTGCAGGGACTCAAAATGCTGGAAGGGTGTAAACCCCGCTCGAGCGTAAAATGACCCGCTCGAGCGGACCACTCAAAAACTGGGCAACTGCAATGGGAGCCAAAGCTCTACCAACCTGTAACAACCAAGCCCAACACATCCTAAAATTCATACAAATGGATTTAAAGGACGACAACAAGATAGATACAACTACCAACTCCACGGAACCGAGTCTGGAACACAACTGAACAGTAAAGGGATAACCGGGATCACTATAAAAAGCGAGGCCTTCCTCATATGCACGCACTTCTATTTCTTAAGGGTCCAGACAAAATTCGGACATGTGCTCAAGTAGACAAATTGGTTTGTGCAAAATTTCCAGATCCAAAAGATGAACCTATGCTTTTTGAAACTATCAAGTGTTATATGGTTACATGGACCATGTGGTGCTCGAAATCCATAAGCACCATGTATGGAAAATGGTAAATGCACCAAGAGATACCCTCGAGTGTTCGCAGAAACAACTACTATGGATCAAGATGGATATCCTATCTATCGTCGTCGCAATAATGGTCAAGCTCATATTGTGAGGGAGAAAGAAGTTGATAACAAAGACATCGTACCATACAATGCATATCTTTCTAAACGTTTCAACTGGCACATGAATGTGGAAGTTTCCGCTGGAATGAGATGTGTCAAGTATATACACAAGTACATTTACAAGGGTTATGATCATACAACGATGGTGTTGGGATTGATAAATGAGATCCAACAATATCTCGATGCGAGGTATATTGAACCTCCAGAAGTTGCTTGGCGAATATTTGGTTATCCATTGCATGTAGAGATACTAGCAGTTGTACGCTCAGCACTTCATTTACCTGGAATACACCGCGTTCTTTTAATCCTGATGAATCATTAGAAGCAATTGTTTCTAGAGCTGGCCAACAAATGTCAACTCTTATTGGTTTTTTTTGCATGTTGTGCTTCTATGGAAGATGAATGTCCATTCACTTACCAAGAATTTCCACAACATTTTGTTTGGCTTAATTTAGAAAAGAGATGGAAACCAAGGCAGCAAGGCTATGCAATTGGTAGAATGTACTTTGCTAGCCCTAATTGTGGTGAGAGATTTTATTTGCGTTTGCTATTAACTGTTGTCAAAGAACCAAAATCGTTTCAATGCTTACGCAGGGTCAACAATGTTTTGCATGATACGTTTAAATCAGCATGTGTTGCAAGAGGACTTTTAGAAGATGATGAAGAATGGATACAATGCCTTAAAGAGGTTGTAGTTATGAAAATTGGTTATCAATTAAGGAGATTGTTTACTATTATTCTTACTCAGTGCTCTCCACTGCAACCATATGCGTTATGGAATCAATTTTCAATGATATATGTGATGATCTTGCACATAAGATTCGAACATTGTTTGCCATTTCTGAACCAACTGAGGCTCAAATTGAAGACTATGATCTATATCTTTTGAATCAAATGCTCCAAGAATCAGGAAAAAGTTTAATTGACTTCCCACCAATTCCACAACCTTGTACAAATTAGAGTGCAGTAGTTGGTAACAGGTTGATATTTGAACATCAACAACTGCAAAATGAGGCACAACAGGCAGATGTAGAAATTATTATTGATCGCCTCAACAATGATCAACGAACAACTTATGATGCAATCACTTCCTCAGTCTTTGAAAATAAAGGAATTATTTTCTTTTTGAATGGAGGTGCCGGAACAGGGAAAACGTTTTTGTACAATGCGATTGCATTGAAGTGTCGTAGCCTTGGCCATATTGTTATTACTGTGGCTTCATCTGGAATTGCATCATTGTTATTGGTATGAGGTCGTACTGCTCATTCAACATTTTCCATTCCGTTGGATGTATTGGAAAATTCAATTTGTGGATTTAGCAAGCAATCATTACAAGCAGAATTGTTTAGAGAAACAAAACTTATAATCTGGGATGAAGTTCCTATGCAGCATAGACATTGTGTTGAGGCAGTTGATCGCACACTTCGAGACACTTGTGATAGTGAAAAGCCATTTGGGGGTATCACTGTTGTTCTTGGTGGAGATTTTCGACAAATCTTACCAATTATAACCAAAGGAGTCCATGAGCAAATTGTGAATGCATCATTAAGACACTCTTTTCTATGGAAGGATATACATGTTCTGTATTTAAATTTGAACATGCACTTGAATCATGCAAATCTTGAAAATGCTAATTTTGTAAAATTCTTAATGGAGATAATATTTCTTCAAACTTTTTCTCTATTATATGGTTATTTTAAATTGACGAAATACATTTACGTTTATGTACTTTAATTGATTTTACTTACTATTTTATTTATTTATTTTTATAAATAGATTGGGACCAATCCTCAAGAAATTGTTAAACTTCCATCAACAATATACAATTTCCAAGATCTAAAAGACATAATCTCAGTAATTTATCCGCAACTGGATGTGGCAATGACATCGACTGCAACATTTTTAACTAAACGTACAATTCTTTCTGCACGGAATGATGATGTCAGTGCTATCAATACTGCAGCATTGAATATTTTTCCGAGTAACACACATACTTATTTGGCAGCAGACAAGATGTCAGAAGAAGATGAAATTGATCGTACTATAATAAATAGATATCCTAATGAATATTTAAATTCATTAGATCCTCCTAGGCTACCGGCTTTTAAGGTAGAGTTGAAAGTGGGTTGTCCTATAATGTTGTTAAGAAATATTACACCAAAAGATGGACTGTGCAATGGCACA